TCTCGTCCTCCCTCCGCTCCTCCTTTCGTCGCCCTCCTCCTCCCCCTCCTCCTTCTCCTCCTCCTCCTCCTCCGCGGCCGGAGAAAGGTCGATGGGTGATGATGATGGTGGTGATGAGGATGGTAGTGATGATAACGAGGGGGATCGAGGAACATGATGATGCTGCTGATGATAACCGTGATGCTTATTGTGGCGGTGATGCTGATGAATGGTGGGTGGTTCGTGGTGGATATGGCAATGCTGATGGCGACGGTGATGCTGATGCTGGTGATGAGGATGAGCATGTGGAGGGGGGGAGCAGGAGGAAGAGGAAGAGGAAGAGGATGAGGATGAGGACGAGGATGATGATGATGCTGATGATGATGATGATGAGGAGGAGGATTTGAACATTGACAGAAGAACGCTGCCCACACACACCGTCCTGGTTGGCGAGACCAGCGCGGGCCTGAATGCGCAGGCCGTGGGGAAGAAGATCACCTCCACGCGCTCGAGCAAGAATGAGGGGCCGAGGTAGGACACTCCAACGTCGTAAAGGGAATGCGAACCGCACGGCAGCTGCAAGATCCCGTCGTGCCCTCAACCTCGTCCGCCACCTCCTTGAACTATTCCTTGCGCGAGTGCGTAGGGGCCCACCCACGGTCGTCCGTCAGCATGAGGTAAACGACGGCCGTCGTTCACACCGATCTTGGCCCCATCCAACCGAGAAGACGGTGCCAAGGTGGCGGTCCGAGGCCACCCCAGCGGCCACGTGGCAGTCCTCCAGCACGGCCACCTTCGTGTTGCTAGAGATGGCGGAGCGCAGCATGAACTTCACGTCCTCTGCGCTCCGCTGGCCAACGAGCTGCTCATGCACGTGGTGATCGCCTGCAGCAGCTCCACGCCCAACCTCAACATACACCATGTCGCGGTGGGTGGGCCCCGCACACGGGCCTCTCGGCTGGCGCCAGCGGCAAGCCGTCGTTCTGCAACGCCCTCGCACAGCTGGCAAAAGCCACGGCACCGCACGTGCACGTGAGGCCTCGACGTGGCGGCAGCGCCTCTCAACTGCCAGCAACAGGCACGAAGATCGGCTCGTCGACGTTCTTTGGGAACGTGAGCTGCACAGCCCGGAGATCGCACACAGCAGCCACGTCCACCGCCAGCGGTTGGCCCTCGACCTCCGCCACCATCGTGATGAGGGGGTCCCCGTCGCATACGAAGACGCTCTTCACCGACTGCGGCGCCAGCGCGCCGCTTTTCAACCGTGGCCCATGCTGCGCTGCCCTGAGCGCCGCCGCTTCCGCAACAAGCAGCTGCGCCCCAGGATCGGCCGAGTGTAGCCCAACGTTGCGACGCATCTTGTCCAGCCATGACGGCGCCAGCCCCGCAACCAAGGCGTCCAAGGCGGGCAGCATACAGCGTGCCCAAGCAGCAACCTCGCCATGGCCGATGAGGGTGGAAAGCGCCCCCTCGGCCTCCGTGCGAAGGCGACCTGCGACCTCAGCCTGCCGCTGCAGCTTGGCGACCAGGCGGTCCGCGGCAGCGCGGGCGCCCGCAGCCCAGCCGGGACGCGAACGGCACCCGTCCCATACGCCGTCGATCGGGCCTAGGGCCTAGGCGAAGCTTGAGCTCGAACTGGCTTGAGCCAACATGGCTTGAGCCAGTTTGGCTACGGACTGAAGGTGATGATGATGCTGACGTTGATGGTGACGGTGACGATGACGATGACGATGACGATGATGATGATGATGATGATGCTGCTGCTGCTGATGATGATGATTATGATGATGATGATGATGCTGCTGATGATGATGATGATTATGATGATGCTGCTGCTGATGATGATGATGCTGCTACTGCTGCTGCTGCTGATGATGATGATGACGATGGCGGTGGTGGTGCTGATGATGATCATGATGATGAGGCGGAGGAGTAGGACGAGCAGGAGGAGGAGGAGGAGAAGGAGGATGAGGAGGAGAGGACGAGGATGAGGAGGACGAGGAAAAGGAAGAAGAGGAGGAGGAGGAGGAGGAGGAGGAGGAGGAGGAATGCGGGGAAGGAGCCGACGTGGGAGGAGTGGGGGGGCGAAGTGGGCTAGGAGGTGGCGGAGGGGGAGGGGGGAGAGGGGGAGGAGCAGGAGGAGGGGAAGGACGAAGTGGAGGAAGGCATGGAAGGCGGGCCGCCTCGGTGTCCAGCGCTGGGAGTCGCAGCAAGCACAGCTCCTCCAGCGCCCTCACCGACGCGCCCCGGCGCCGGAGGCGGCCGTGGCCGAAGGTGTCCTGTGCGCGCCCGCGGGAGTTCTCCTCCTCGACCTCCTCCTCCCCAGACCTCCTCCTCCTCCTCCTCCTCGACCTTCTCGTCCTCGCGCTCCTCATCCTCCTCTTCGACCTCCTCCTCCTCCTTCTCCTCGGGCCTCGACCTCCTCCTCCTCCTCCTCCTCCTCCTCCTCCTCCTCCTCCTCCCCAGAACTCTTCGCGTCGTGAACCGTCCCAGCAAAGCATCCCAATAGCAGCAAAGGTGAAGAGGTGGGTCGAGGAATAGGAGGTAGGCTATCTGGGACAGGGGTGAGAGCACGGCCGCGTGCACCGTACAGTATGCTTTACAACATATCGTGGTCGTCCGAAGCGCACATGTAGCTGGTATTTCGGCGAGAACACGACTCCTAAATCAGTTGAAGGAGTCTCAGGTGGGACGGCTGCGGGATCGCTACCGCGCCACGCGGGCTCGGGTTCCCCGTCCCCCCTGTCGGATTGTCTATTGATCGGGCAAACCACTGGCGGAACCCTCTAGCGAAATGCTGTGCTGTCCAGCGTGGTGCCAAAACATTGGTTTTCTTTCAATATATGCAGTGTAGTCTAGGTGATACAAACAACGCTGTGTAATCTAGGTCGTTGGCAGCATGTGGTGCATTCTATGTGGTGCAACATAATACCTGCTCGCATTGAATTGTGAACTCCATTGCTCGCGCAAGCATCCCACCCACCCACCCGTAACTTGGTTTGCGAAACCCATGCGGCGGCGATTGTGATGAGTGTAGGGTGTTGGCTGGTGCATCTCTGCGGCCGCGCTAGCCCGCGCATGCTCGCACGCGCAGCGGCCAGCTAGTTTGACGCGATCGACGCGGCCGCGGTGGCGCTGACCGCGGGGCA